GGCGGCACGAGCTGAACCCACCCGGCGAGGGCCACGGGACACGAGCAGCGCCGAGCCAGTTACGCTGTACCAGTGGGAGAGAGAGGATGCTCGGCGTGCGCTCCGTGCTAGGTGCCGTGTGGCTGTTATTGTTCAGCGTTTGGTCGCGATAGAGATAGAAAAATTCAAACCCTTTTGGAAGTGTGGGTTTTCACGGGGGGCTTCCGCTACCAGGTGAAGCCTCGGTGGAAATTGACATCAGGGATTTACGCCAGAAACTTTTTTTTTTCTTCATATATCTGAACAGCAGAAAAAAATCTCACGTGAATTTGGCAAAGTTGGTTTGGGGGAATGTGGAGTGCAAACAGGTACCTTTATCTCGCCTTCGCTGTCTCTGCTTGTCCATCTCTCTGTCCGTCTCTCTGCCTGTCTGTATTCTTCTAACACTAAATGTCTGTGTCTGGCTGTGTCTCTGTCTGTCTCCCTGTCTCTGACTGTCTGTCTGTCTATCTGCCCTGTCCGTCACTCTCTCTCTCTCTCTCTCTCTCTCTCTCTCTCTCTCTCTCTCTCTCTCTCTCTCTCTCTCTCTCTCTCTCTCTCTCTCTCTCTCTCTCTCTCTCTCCCCTACCAATCTCAAAACTTGCCGCGCCTAACCAGCATAAGGAAAACACGTGAGATGAATGTGATGACTTTGGTGATGATGGCGATGAACTTCCTGACGAAAACTGCGAAAAGGACAGTGGTGATATAGCATACTCTTAAGATTTTTTTCTGTATGTCACGGTTTGTTTTGCATTTCTACCTGTTCGAATTGAAATCCGGCTCAAAGAATTCATGTTAAATTTAATTCGATTGCTGTTTATTAACGTGTCATATTTCACTCATGTTGTGAATTGGCCATTTCAATAATCTATCTTTCCTACGATAATATTGTAAGTATATAATTATAAAGAAGAAAATGTGTGAGACATTTCTAGTGTAGTTGAATGTGTGATACATCCAGTGGAATGAAAAGTTAGCTGTCAAACGTTAGTGTATATGATAGGCAAGAGGAATAATTTATAAATGTATATGCGTGCGTGTGTGTGAGTGTGAGTGTGTGTGTGTGTGTGTGTGTGTGTGCGTGCGTGCGTGCGTGCGTGCGTGCGTGCGTGTATGTGTGTGTGTTTGTAGTTTGTAGATGAATCAATAGGTAGGTAAGTAGACTGGTAGACAGATCAGCATAAATCAGACAGGCAAACTGATAATACGAATATAAATACGCATTTTCCCAACGCCAGATTAGGGTAAGGAAGGTAAGGTTGAACACACACCATGAAGAAAAACGCCTGGTAATCCCATTTACCTTACGAATGACTAGGTGAGCTTAATGAAGGTAAGTATGCATACCCGAATCATTCAAGGGCATCTATTCACGTATATCTAATGAATAACCAACATTAAAAAAAACACGAACTTGAAGTGTAAAAAAGCGTTTTGTTCGTTGCCAAGACTGTTAACCACGTGCCAAGAGGAAACTGTAGGTAATGTGCGTGGAAACAAGGGAAAGCATCCTCTCGCTCCCGGTCACAGAGGTGGGAGATGAGCAAGATGAGTTAATGGCAGAGGGAGAGAGAGAGAGAGAGAGAGAGAGAGAGAGAGAGAGAGAGAGAGAGAGAGAGAGAGAGAGAGAGAGAGAGAGAGAGAGAGAGAGAGAGAGAGAGAGAGAGAAAAGGGAGGGAAGGAGAGAGAGAGGAAGAGGAAGATTTTTGTTAGTTACTTATGTATGTTCTGTTGTATTTTTATAGCACTATGTATATCAATCAAAATAATTGTATATCTGTAAATATGCACACACATTAATGTATAAAGAAATCCATATACAGGCACTCAATAAACCTACAACAAAATCACACACATAGACACAAAGCATACACCTCGTGCTTGTAGCCATGGAGGTTTAAATGTATATCTGTAGACCACTGGGTCATATTCCCTGAATAAGGCCAGCAGAACCACCAAATCACACGGCTATCAAAAGAATGTATCCTTATCATTTAGCTATAGGCAATGATATGGCTGGAAATTCAGATTACGCAGAACGGTAAGTGGGTTAAAGGCCTTAGATGTTTAAACACGATTAATTCAGAGATCAGTTGCTTACTTAGATTATGTGTTAAGGAAAATACTTTCTTAAAACAAAGAGAGAGAAAAAAAATGGCTTCCTTGATTCGAAAACATGCTTATCTTAATCAAAGATTTATATCAAATCCTTCACTACTAATCAATCCTCGAGTGAAGCAAAAAAAAAAAAAAAAAAAAAAAAAAAAAATCAATCACGTAACGTTTATTGTAGACGTAAAAACAAACGAACGAACAAAGACACCAACATTATCTCGGTTAGTGTGAACAGTCGGTTAGTCGGTCGGTCGGTATGAAGTGATTTGGTTATCGGAAGAAGGTGTTATCGTGTTCTGCGTTGCGAGGTAGTCGGCTCTAAGGTAGGTGGGTGGGGGGGTGGGAGGGAAGGAGGGAGGGAGAAGGGGAGAGAGGGAGGAGGTAAGAAAGGAAGGAGACTGTGGTAGTAGGGGAGTGGGAGGTGCAAGAGGGAGGGGTGCAAGATGGGGGGAAAGGGGGGGGATAGGGAAAGGGAGTTTGAGTGGGATAGAGGGGATGGGAGGAGAGGGGGAGGGGGAAGGAAAAGGGAGAGAGAGAGAGAGAGAGAGAGAGAGAGAGAGAGAGAGAGAGAGAGAGAGAGAGAGAGAGAGAGAGAGAGAGAGAGAGAGAGAGAGAGTAAACACCGCGCCTGGTGGGTGAGGCAAGCAAGGAGTCGAGACCGAGTAAGGGGCGGAAGGGTTGCGTTATTATTTTAGCTGGAGCGTTAAGCACGGAGATTAAAATAGTAAACAAACACGTCGCTTGACATAACAAACAGCCCAAAACAACGGGAGAGAGAGAGAGAGAGAGAGAGAGAGAGAGAGAGAGAGAGAGAGAGAGAGAGAGAGAGAGAGAGAGAGAGAGAGAGAGAGAGAGAGAGAGAGCGAAAGCGAAAGAGAGAGAGAGAGAGAGAATGATGAGAAATAGCACGAATATTTTTCCTCTTTCCTCTTAGATAAAACCTCCATCGCAGATAAAAATATCAGCCTGGACTTATCTTCCATTTCGGATTAGTAGGTCATTTCACGGAAGAGAGAAGTCAATTAATATGCTCTTACGGGCGGTGATTCATTGTTTCGAAACTCCGAAACGATTGAGCGAAGCAGTTTCATTACGTCTCAAACGCGTCTCGAAGTTGCGGATGTGTGAATTCTCGTGTCTTTCTCGCGCTCTTTTCCCTCCGGAATTGCCTTCTCGCTTGTCATTATCCGTGGCGGTAAGTCGATGATAAACGGCTCATCTCTCTCTCTCTCTTTCACTCTCTCTCTCTCTCTCTCTCTCTCTCTCTCTCTCTCTCTCTCTCTCTCTCTCTCTCTCTCTCTCTCTCTCTCTCTCTCTCTCTCTCTCTCTCTCTCTCTCTCTCTCTCTCTCTCTCTCTCGCTCTCTCTCTCTCTCTCTCTCTCTCTCTCTCTCTCTCTCTCTCTCTCTCTCTCTCTCTCTCTCTCTCTCTCTCTCTCTCTCTCTCTCTCTTCCTCTCTTCCTCTCTTCCTAACTCCCTCCCTCCCTAACTCCCTAACTCCTCCCTCCCTCCCTCCTTTCCTCCTTCCTGTTCTCCCTTACCTTCCCTCCCCCGCCTCTCTCTCTCTCTCTCTCTCTCTCTCTCTCTCTCTCTCTCTCTCTCTCTCTCTCTCTCTCTCTCTCTCTCTCTCTCTCTCTCTCTTCCTCTCTCCCTCCCTCCCTCCCTCCCTAACTCCCTAACTCCCTAACTCCCTCCCTCCCTCCTTTCCTCCTTCCCGTTCTCCCTTACCTTCCCTCCCCCGCCTCTCTCTCTCTCTCTCTCTATCTATCTATCTATCTATTTATCTCTATCAATCTCTCTATCGACCCTCCCTCTTTTATTCCCACCCACCTTCCCTCCCTTCTCCCCTCCACCCCTCTCTCCCTCCCTCCTCCCCCCACCCCGCTCTCCCTCCCTCCTCCCCCCACCCCACTCTCCCTCACTCCTCCCCCCACCCCGCTCTCCCTCACTCCCTCCGCCACATCTGCGAAGCCCCTTGGCAAGCGTGATCCTAATAAGACATGACATTTCGTTGAGAATAACTCACCAATGTTCACCGCGGGATCATGAACTGTTGGGGGGAGGAGGGGGGGGAGGGGGAGAGTTCATGGCAGGATGTCGAAGTGTGCATTTTTTTTTTTTTTTTTTTTTTTTTTTTTTTTTTTTTTTTTTTTTTAGAACAGTGAATTAATGTTTTGTTTTTTTGCTTGTGGTGAATATGGGAAGAATGTAAGTTAAATGCCGAGCGAGTATTAATGATTTTTTCTTTTTTTTTTATTCAGGGGTAACTGTATATTAATGACTTGACCACTTAAACGTTTGTTAATTTTCGCTTTGTTGATACGGGGGGTGGGGTGGGGGGGGTAAGGGAGGGTTTAGGGGAGGGAGGAGAGAGAGAGAGAGAGAGAGAGAGAGAGAGAGAGAGAGAGAGAGAGAGAGAGAGAGAGAGAGAGAGAGAGAGAGAGAGAGAGAGAGAGAGAGAGAGAGAGAGAGAGAGAGAGAGAGAGAGAGAGAGAGAGAGAGAGAGAGAGAGAGAGAGAGAGAGAGAGAGAGAGAGAGAGAGAGAGAGAGAGAGAGAGAGAGAGAGAGAGAGAGAGAGAGAGAGAGAGAGAGAGAGAGAGAGAGAGAGAGAGAGAGAGAGAGAGAGAGAGAGAGAGAGAGAGAGAGAGAGAGAGAGAGAGAGAGAGAGAGAGAGAGAGAGAGAGAGAGAGAGAGAGAGAGAGAGAGAGAGAGAGAGAGAGAGAGAGAGAGAGAGAGAGAGAGAGAGAGAGAGAGAGAGAGAGAGAGAGAGAGAGAGAGAGAGAGAGAGAGAGAGAGAGAGAGAGAGAGAGAGAGAGAGAGAGAGAGAGAGAGAGAGAGAGAGAGAGAGAGAGAGAGAGAGAGAGAGAGAGAGAGAGAGAGAGAGAGAGAGAGAGAGAGGAGAGAGAGAGAGGAAGAGAGAAGAGAAGAGAGAGAGAGGAGGAAGGAAATGTAGGGGAAGAGAAAGGGAGGGGGATATATGTAGAGGCGGAGAGGGATACGAAGAAAAAAGAGGAAGCATTGATAATAACAATTATTATTATCGTTATTATTGCCGTTCACACTACCGAGGTGAAATTTGGAATATAGTTTAATGAAGAGAAAGTGAGCGATAGTGTGTGGTTATATGTACATGTTTGCATTTAAATTTTTACCAGAATATGTAATACAACTTATATAACCTGTGGCAGAAAAATAATATTATTAATAATTCTTATTTTTCCTCGACAGATATATGTAGCTAAAGTGTGTGTGAAAACATACTTTCTTGATAAAAAAAGGAAAGTAACTTAACACTAAGCAAACGCAGGAGAGAAACATATAAAGAAAAAAAAAAACAAAGAATCGTAATAATCATAGTGAAAATCTGAAGTGAAAATAGAAATAGAAATAAGTGTGTATATGAGATTTTAGTAATAGAAAAAAAAGAACTGTACATTTTCGAGGTCAAATAGAGTGTGACTTGACCCTTGACCTCCAAGATGGGTCAGCCGTCCCCCTTCGTGGTGGGCGTCGTGGTACTCCTGATGGGCGTGGCCATAGGCGTGGCCACCACCGAACCCGCAGTCGAGATTCAAACGGAAGCCCCGCCCCCTAGAGCTGACGCCCCCGTTGAGTTTAAAGGTATGTTTTGAAAATCGTATTTTATGTACTTGTTTATTATATAAGGGTAAGTGTAAAAAAAAATGTACCGTTGTTTCGAGTTTCTTATGTTATCTATGAATTTATTGGTTAGTAATGTATTTCTATGTTGCTATTTTGGGAAGTTAGCTTACTGTTTGATGTGATGCTTGCAGTTGCACACGTATATTGTATCATTTAATACGTAGGCCTATCTTGTAACTTGTAGTATGTCGTGTATAAAGTATCATGTATCACGAATTCTGTATCTTGCCTCTTGCATTTTGCATCTTGTCTCTTGTATATAAGCCCTATTACCCCTACCTATTATAGACCTATTTTTCATATCAAAGAAAGATGAAAAAATATATAACTTAATTTCTTTATATATATATAGAAAACGGTAGAAAGGTCAAAGAAAACGGAGGTATCACAAGATCACATCAAGGAGCTTTAATATAGAGTTAAAAGTATCTTAATTCCAAGTGATAATAATCCTAGCTATCATTCATTTTTTTATATATATATAAGACCGTGCGTGTCTAGAATTAAGGAGGGAAAATTAATGCTGTGGATCAGGTTATTCTCTTTTTTTTTCAAGGTTAAAGAGGGAGGAGGGAAATATTTTCGAGACGACGATAATAAATTCTACATCATGTCGCTTGTAGAAGAAAATAGGTTGTCAAGTGTTGTTGTTACCGTAGTGGTTGTTGTTGTTTTTACTGTTTTTTGGTGCTACTTTTATGCTGCTGCTTTATGATGACATTATGATTATCTATATTGCTGTTATTGATGTCATTATAGTGATAATGATAATAATATTAATGATGATAATTATTATTATCATTATTCTTATTGTAATTATTGTTGTAAAAATAGCTGCTACAATTATTATTATTATTATTATTATTATTATTATTATTATTATTATCATCATTATCATTATTACTGTGACGATTTATGTTGCTGCGAGTGTGGTTTTAGCTTCAGTTACAGATCTAATCATATTCGCTGTCAGAAAGCCACGGCATAATTTCAGGGGAGAATTTAACTGTAATCTCAGTCTTTCTCTTTCTTTATTCTCTCTTTCTTTCTTTCCTCTCTCTCTCTCTCTCTCTCTCTCTCTCTCTCTCTCTCTCTCTCTCTCTCTCTCTCTATATATATATATATATATATATATATATATATATATATATATATATGTATATATTTCATTTCTCTCTCTCTCTCTCAATCTCTCTCTCTCTCTCTCTCTCTCTCTCTCTCTCTCTCTCTCTCTCTCTCTCTCTCTCTCTCTCTCTCTCTCTCTCTCTCTCTCTTCTTCTCTCTCTCCTCTCTCTCCTCCCTCCCTCTCCCTCTCTCCCTCTCCCTCCCTCTCTCCCTCCCTTCCTTCCTTTCTCCCTCCCTCCTTCCCTTATACTCCCTCCCCCTCCCTTATACTCCCTCCCCCTCCCCCCATCCTCCCTCTCTCTGTCTCGCACCGGAGCGCCTGTTCCCTGTTCTTTATCACGGTCGAAATCCGCCCCCCCCCCTCCCCCGCTCCTTCTCCTCCTGACCATAGCGGTGGCGGTAGATCTGTGGGAATGAGAGGGAATGGGCGGCGAGATTCATTGGCTGGGGTTTCGAGGCGCTAAATCTCTTTAAGGGGGGGGAGGGGGCAAGGGAGGGGGCGAGGAGGAGGAGGAGGTGGGGGGAGGTGGGGTGTAGTGATGACGAGGAAGGGGCTTGGAGTGGAGAGGAGGGAGGGAATGATGACGAGGGGAATAGGGTTGGGGGGGGATGGGGTGGAGGGAGAGGTGGCTTTCACTCGATCGCTGTGAGTCTGTCTGTCTGTCTGTCTGGCTTGTTTAGATTGTTTCGTCGTTCTTAGGGTATCTGTCTGTCTGTCTCTGTCTGATTGCCTGTTTGTTTGTGTCTCTTTCTGTCGATTTATCTCTTGTCTCTGTGTATGTATGTACACACACAGGGGGTGGGGGGTGGCTCTACACGTTGTGTATATCCCCCCCCCCTTTTCGTTTCATGCATGTGCGTAATATATGAAGCTGTCATGCGGCGCAGCCAACGCTGCATGGCTTCATGACGGCACCGGGATGAATGACAGAGCTAATGAATCATGTCGAGGATCCTCTTACGATGAGTGGCTCTGATTCCATTTTTCTTGGTCTCTTTTATCGCCTCTCTCTCTCTCTCTTTCTCTCTTTTTTTCTTTCTCTTTTGTCTCGTCTCTCTCTCTCTCTCTCCTCGCTCTTCGCTCTCTTCTCTCATGTCCCTCTCTCAGCTTTCGTCTCTCTCTCTCTCTCTCATAATACGTTCAGTCCAGTGTAAAGAATTCTATCTCCCTCTCTCTCTCTCTCTCTCTCTCTCTCTCTCTCTCTCTCTCAGCCTCTTCTCCTCCTCCTCTCCTTCTTCTCTCCTCCTCTCCAATCTCCCCCCCCCCAGTTCAGTCCGTTTCCTTTCCATTTCTTCTATATTTCACATTAATCTCAATATCTATAATGTGTCAAGGGAAAATAATGAGGAAGGAAAGGGGGGAGGGGGAGGGAGAGAGAGATGGGGGGAGTAGCAAAGGTAGGAGAAGAGAGTGAGAGAGGGAGGGGGGAGGGAGAAGGGAGAGAGGGGGAGGGGGGAAGGAGGAGGGATAGAGGGGGAGGGAGGAGGGATAGAGGGGGAGGGGGAGGGAGGAGGGAGGGAAGGGAGAGAAGATTGGTGTGAAGGGAGGGAGAAAGAAAATGAGAGGAGGAGAGGAAGGAGGAAGAGAGGGGGAAATGGAGGGAAGAAGAGAGTCCGGGGAAGAAGGAAGGGAGTGAAGAAGGGAGGTAAGGGAAAGGAAGGAGAAGAGGACGAAGGAACAGGTGGATAAATAGAGGCAGGGAAGCAGGTGAAGAGGAAGTTAAGAAGAAAGGATGGGTAGGAAAGTGAAGAGGAAGGGAAGGATGGGGGGATGAAGAAAGAATGGGCAAATAGGAGGTAGATACAGAGGAAGAGAAGGAAATGAAAGAAGGGATGAAAGGAGTAAACGTAGGAGGGATGGAAGGATGGAATGAGAACGGATGGTTGATAAACAGGGAGGGAAGGAAGGAAGGAAGGAAAGAGGAAAAGAAGGATGAGGATGAAGAAGGAGGGGGGGGGAGGGAAAGGAGGAAGGTAGAAACGAAAAAAATGAGGGAGAGGGAGTTTTTTGTAGCCTCACTTTCTCCCTCACTGTGTTTGTTGGAGAATATGGAACAGGAAAGGGGTGATAAATGGAAAAAAGAAGAAAGGGAAGATGATGTAGAAGAATTTAAAGAAAAGTGTTTAAAGGGATGAATGAGAACAGGTGGAAACTAGAAGGGAAGACAGGGAAGGAATTTGGAATAGGGATGGGAAAGATTGAAGGAAAATATGGAGAGAAGAGAGAATGAAAATAAGGAAGTAAGCTACAAACGGGAAATAAAAAGGGATGAGATGAGAGGAAAATAAGGAAAACAGAGAGGGAGTGAAAATAAATAAGAGGAGAAGAAACAGGAATTAGGAAGGTGAGATGAGAAAGGCATAACAGAGATAGATAAATAAAATAGAATAGAGAGAAAGTAATTCAAAGTAGGTAAGAAAGAACAGACGAAAAGCAAAAAGAAGGTAACGAAGAGAGAACTACAGAAAATAAAGAAATAGAGCGAAAAATGAACGTATCCAAAGAAGAAAAGGAAGGACGAAGAGAAACCGAGAAAATGAAGTGAAGAGAGAAAGGAGAAGTGAAGAAGACAATAGAAATGCAACGAATGATAAGGAAAGATAAACAGCTTCCATACTAAGCAATTTAAGAATCTACAAATATACTTCTCCGTCAGCAATACACATAAACCTTTCAGTCACGCATGTATATATCTTGGTCAACATACTCCTTGCAAGAGCTTCGTGTTGCATGTTGCAGCCGTGTTGCTTGTTGCTACGGAGAGAAGGAAGGTGATGCAAGAATCGAGAACTGCGACTTCTTCCTCCTTATCCTCCTCTTCCTCCTTATCTCTCTCTTCCTCCTTATCTCTCTCTTCCTACTTATCTTTGGCTTGGCGTTTATTGGGGGGGTGGGGGAGGGGGAAGGGTTGTTCATGTTTGTTTTTGCTTTTTGCTTCTTTTGAGTTTTTTTGTTTTGTTATTCTTTCTTTCAGTCTTTCGTGTTTTTTGCTTCTCTCTTTCTACTCTTCTCTTTTTTTCTTCTCTTCTCTTTTCTTCTCTCTCGCTCTCTCTCTTTTTCCCTTCCTTCCTATCCTCCTCCCTCTCCCCCTTCTGTCTCTCAATGCTCGTGTGCTTGTATGTACGAGTGTGCGCTTGTTTGTTTGCACGCACACACGTACTGCTCGAGGGTACGTACGTACCCCCCCCACCCCCCCACCCCGAACACAAACGCGCACACGCAGACCCACGTGCCATGCCAACCCTTAGGAAAGTGCAAGCACCCCAACACCTGTAGAACATCTCTTCTTGGGTGGGGGTTGGGTGGGGGTTGGGGGGTGGGGGTGGGAGGGGGCGATGGCAAGCAGCACATACTCGCGAAAACGAAAATAACCCCTCGAGGAGACGAGAAAGCAGGAGAGACACTTGAGGGTTTGTACCTCCGTGGGGAGTCGGTTCACTCAGGTGGGGGGAGGGGGCGAGGGGGGTGGAGGGGGGGAGGGGAAGGGAAGGGTAGGGGTAGGGAAGGGGGAAAGTGGATGGAGGAATATGATATGGAGGAGGAGGTGGAATGTGGAAGAGGAGGGGGGGAAGGGGGAGGAGAGTGGGTGGAGGAATAAGAGATGGAAGAGGGGAAGGGAAGGGGGAGAGTGGATGGAGGAATAAGAGATGAAGGGGGAGATGAAATGTGGAAGAGGAGGAAGAGAAGAGTAGGGGGGAGAATAAAGAAAACGAAAATGCGAAAAGGAAGAAAGCGAAAAAAAAAGAAAAACAAAAATCTCCTCGCGAACGACTACGACCACGTTCCTTACACCTGGAATCCATTGATAAGTGGTCGTCAGTTTTGCAAGCGT